TTTTTTTTTTTTTGTCTTTTTGAGACAGGGTCTCGCTATGTGATTCAGGCTGGACTTGAGCTCACTTTGTAGCCCAGCCTGTCTCGAACTTGCAAGGATCCTCCTGCCTCAGCCTCCCAAGTGCTAGGATTACAGATGTGCGCCACCACGCCTGGCTAAATTTTGTTTATTTGTATTTATTGTTTTTTTTTCCCCCTTGGTACTGGGAATCAAACTCACAATCTTGTGCTTGCCAGGCAGGCGCTGTGCTGCTGAGTTAAATCCCCAGCCCCTCCTTTCCTTTTGTTGGTTTTGTGTATTTGAGTTACTGAGTTGTCCTGGGCTCAAGCAATCATCCAGCTCCAGCTGAGTAGCTGGGACTACATGTGCTCGCTGATGTATCCTGCTCCCAACTGAAGTTGTAAAGCTCTTCTAATACATTTTACATCACATTTCTATTACAGACATCAATCCAAGAATATTTATCTCCCATGTTCAGCAGAATACACCTTGTACCTCTTTGGCTTGAGAAAAAGTGTTTTGATGCTGCTGTGGGTGAGTGGGCCATAAGACTGCTAGTATCAGGAGATCTACAGGATTAATTTGCCAGGGTTCTTCTCCTTCTAATGTGATAGTTCTTTGGCAAGCAAAATATGAATTACTTTAACACTTGAATAACCTCTGTAAAAAAAAGACATATTGTCACTCTTTTAAAAATTGAAAGTAATGTATGCTCATCAAGATTCAAGCAATGTGATGAAAGAGAGAAAACGGCAGGATAGAAAACTCTAAGGACCCTACCCTCCACAGAAATAGTGAATAACCTGGCAAAAACTGTCAGAATCAACTTTACTTGAACTCTGAACACCAATAAGAGTTTACAGTACTCATGCAAGCATTTTAGAGTCACCACTGAGCTGATTCTCAGCAGAGTCTTGAAGACAACAACCTGTTTTTGATGTGACTTTCTGGTGCCAGAGAAGGCAGGACTGACCCTGTCCTCAAAAAACTGTGGCTGGTTGTTTTGATTTGTCTGTTGGCAAGCTGATAAGATTATATAAAATGCTTGTCTTCATTCTGCCAAAGTCAGAGCTCTCTGGGATAGAGAGTACATTTGTTAAAAACACAGGCAAATTTATTAAATGGTGCTAAATTGGGCAAGGGATAATTGCCCGGGGAAACAATGGAAAAAAGACTGAGGAGTGTCTCAGTTGCTTTTCTTATTGCTGAGACAAAATACCTGACACCTAAAGTTAAAGGAGGAGAGGTTTATTCAGCTCACAGTTTATAGAAGTTTCAGTCCATAGTTGGCTGGCTCCAAGGCAGGGTGGCACACGGCACAGGGGCACTGAAGAGGAGAAACAGTTCTTTGCAGGTAGATGATAGCAAAAGCAAGCAAGCAAGGGCTGACTACAGCTCTTCCTATCCCTTACATCTTATCCAGGCTACTTAGGACAGGTAGCACTAACATCTTTAATCCTCCTGCTTGAGCCTAGCATTGTACCAAGAATCAAACCCAGCATTGCACATCCTAGATCCAGCCACCTCAGAAAAAGCCCCCCTACGACTGCATGAGACTTTGAGGTGACATCTAGATGACAGCCACAGAGGGAGTAAGATACTTTGGGGGATAAAGCACTGAAAGGCTCCCTTGTCCTTCTTAGAGGCCAGATCATGTGCATGCCCAGATAGAGCAGAGCATATGTGCAGATAGATCTAGCAAGGCCGTAAGTTCTCGCCTCTGGCTGATCTTTAAGCTCTGTACATGCAGCAAGTGAAAGCTAAGGAAGAATTGTAAACTATTCAACAGAATATTGAAGGCATGCTTCAACATGTACGCAGAGCCCACTGGCAAAGACTGGAAAAAAATATAAATAAAAACCAATATATATCCCCATTATACACAACCCTGGTTCCTGATCACCAAGCTAACAGATACTCCAGTGGCCACATAGACCAAAGATTATACACTTAGAAATTAGATCAGAAAAGTCATTAGATAAACAGCAAAAACCACACCAAGCAGTAAAAACAAACTCTGAGAAGGAGGGAGAACCCAAATGCCACATTATATACTTAAAATGTCTAGGACCCCCCCCCCCCAAACACACACACATACAAAGAAGCAGGCAAAGAAACCAGAAGGTTTGGTCCAAATTAATGAAAATTAGCAGTAGTCATCCGTGACAAAGTTCAGGCATTAGAACTACTAGACAAAGACATATATTAGAACTACCAGACGTATCTTAAGTATGCTCAAAGAACATGTGCAAAAAACTAAAGTATAAGAATGATGGTTCACCCAATTGAGATTATCAACAAAAAGATAAATTTTTAAAAGGGAGCTAACTGAACTGCTAGACTTGAAAAGTAGAATAACTAAAATAAA